CAGTAGAATTTTTGTAGAGACCTCTACATAGATTCTCCTTGGCATTTTAAATTTCCTTCCCTTTTCTCCTTTCTCTCAACTCCCCCAAATAGCCTCTGCTCACTGAGAAAACAAATTCAAAATGCCAAATAAATCTTCACTCTGACTATAAAACTCCAATGTTCAGGCATTCTGTCACTGCTTGTTATTAAGTAATTTGTTTCCAAAATGTAATTTTTTTCCCCTTTTCTCTTTCTTTCAAACTTCCCCCATCTTCGGTGCTCCCAATCAGCTGTTTTTGAAAACTTACCTATTAGGTAGGTCAAGGAGAGTTTTATCTGCCTATTCCACTGGAATGCAGAAAGGGAGGTTAAGTGGCAAGATCAAGGACACAGAGCCAGCCAGGAGCAAAGCGAGAGCCTGGAGGCCCTACCACCCAGGGTTCTGCATGCCTCATTATTACACAGCCTCTCCAAAACCCTCACTGAGACTGCAGTTCCTCCAGCTTTTATTGTCACCATTAAAAATAGTAGTGGCCCAAGAATCCAGAAGCCCAACTAGAATTTTCTTGAATTATCTTACCATGGTTGAGGCACACTGAGTGTGAAGCATCATGAAACTGCACTGCCCACGGACCAAGCAAGACAAAAGAGCAACAGAACCCTACCTGTGAAACTACGGGTGTACTCAAGGGCACCCTCACTATGGTCACTCCTCTCTTAACATGGGGCCCCCATTCCCATAGCACTTTGGGATCGGCATCATCATTACCAGAGGCAGAAATGATATCTGAGATGTTAAGATATATTTAAGTGCTGGCTTTTCTTCCCAGGAGGGCACTGGTGAATCACTCCTCTACCTCTCCACCCCCTTGCCTTCTGTGCTTTGCCATTGTTCCTTCCACATTTGTGATGGGAGCCCACTGGGGACCACCGAGGGTTGGATTCAGAAGGATCCTTCTGTTCCCAGGAAGCCAAGCTAAGCAGGCTCCAGGTGTGACCCTGCTCTGAGGAAGCTCCGAACCTAGGAGCAGCTCCCATAACCACTGTCAGCAGCAGGTCTTCCTGACCAGGACCCTGCACTGAATGGATCAGAGCTGCTGCCTGAACCTCAGGCGGCAGGGCAAAATGGGGCGTGTTCCCGGCCCGCCCAGGCTTACTAGTAAGATATCTATCAATATAGCAACACTAAACCCGATTTAGAGCACAAATCTGGTGCTCTAAATCAACATTTGGAGTGTTCACGAAGAGAAACTGGGGGCTCTAATTTTAAATTCTAATTTTAAGGATTCATGCTGAGATATTTGCTACCCAAGTAGAAAGTCCTTAAAGGTGGATCCTGGATGACATTAACCTGAATCTACCTGGTAATAGCATGCAAAGGAAGGACACCTGCTTTCTAATCTCATTTCCATCTGTAACCAGCCTTGTGACCAAGTCACAAGGCCTCGCTCCTCTGTGTACGGTCCTTATCTGGGAAAAGGCGGTGCTTTGGGTTTGACCTGAAAGTGCTTCGCAATGACATTACGTCACACGAGCAAAGACGCACGGTAAAAAGGAAAGCTCCGTGTCCAAGAGGGAGACAATTATTATTTCTTTGTTCACTTGTGCTAACATCCTGCCCTATGAAAACTTGCGGACTCTGGTCGACCAGGACCAATGTCAGGCAGATTTTAATCATCCCCAGTGTATTCTAATGGCCGTCCATTATAAGCATCGTCTTGGTGTATTTCTTCTCTTTATAATAACAATAATATATTTGTCTACCTCTTCATAGTGTGTGTGTGTGTCCGTGCACTTGTGTTCTTATCTAAATCTTTCCATGAGACAGGAATCAGTTTTCAAGGAATTCTTTTTTTAAATGTATTTCCTGCTAAGGATGTTTTTTTTCTCAGACCTTCTCTCCAGCATCTAACTAAAATTAAAGGCTGCCGTGCAGCCTGCAGAGTAACCCAGACTTTTATTTAATTCTGTCTTGTGATGGTAAGGGATGGAAATGAACAGGAATTGCTGAGATGACAACTGTTTGATTGGGAAGCAGCCCGGGCAGCCTAAAAAGTGGCCATGGCCTCTGTATGTAAACAAAACAGCAAACAAACAACAGCAACTACAAAACCAAAATCCTACAGATTCTCAGCAAGTTATCTGCAATGGAAAAAAGAGAGAGGGAGATGAAGGAAAAGAGATTTAAAAAGAGACTTGAAGTCACATTTTTTTTTAAGATTTATTTATTTATTTGAGAGAGGAGGGGGAGGCAGAGGGAGAGAGAGAATCTCAAGCAGACTCCCCACTGAGTGGGGAGCCCGATGCGGGGCTCAATATCACGACCCTGAGATCATGACCTGAGCCAAAATCAAGAGTTGGACGCTTAAGCAACTAAGCCACCCAGGCGCCTCAAAAAGAGACTTGAAGTCATATTGGTACATGATGCCCGTAAAGAAGAACACTTTCCCTCTGTGGTGTTCTTTCCAAAATATCCATAACTTCAGTCTGATAATGAGAAAACATCAAATAAATCCCAACTGAGGGACTTTCTACAAAATACCTGATCAATATCAAGGTCATGAAAAACAAGACCGAGGGACACCTGGGTGGCTCAACCGGTTGAGCATCTGCCTTTAGCTCAGGTCACGATCCCAGGGTCCTGGAATCGAGTCCTGCATCGGGCTCCTTGCTTGGCAGGGAGCCTGCTTCTCCCTCTACCTCTGCCTGCTTCTCTGCCTACTTGTGTTCTCTATCTCTCTGTCAAATAAATAAATAAAATCTTAAAAAAAAAGAAAGAAAGAAAGAAAGAAAGAAAGAAAGAAAGAAAGAAAGAAAGAAAGAAAGAAAGAAAGAAAGAGAAAGAAAGAAAAGAAAGACCAAGAAGCTGTCACATATTGGAGAAGTCTGAGGAATCATAATGACTAAATGTATTACAGTGTCCTGGACTGGATCCTACAATAGGAAAGGGCCATCAGGAGGAAAATTAGGGAAATCTGAAAAAAGGCTGTAAGTTAGTTAACGGTAATGGACCAGTGTTATTTTCTTAGTTTTGACAAATACGCTGTAATTATGTGAGATGTGAACATTAGTGGAAACTGGGTGAAGGTACACGGGAACTCTCTGTCCTCTGTTTGCAACTTTTCTGTAAGTCTGCAATTATTCCAAAATAACAATTTATTTTAAAAAGGAGAGAAAGAGAAACTTAACAAACTTATCAAACAAGACTTATTTGAATCTTGACCAAACTACTTAAAAAACTCATTTACGAGACAACTAGAAATTTAAGCACTGGATATTTGATTATATGAAGAAATTGTTAATTACTTTTAGGTATGCTAATGGTATTGCAGTTATATATATTTTTTTTTAAGGAGTCTTTATTTTTGGAGAGACAAACTAAAATATTTATAGATGATCACTTCTCGGCCTTTTGGCGAAGATCAAGTATAAAATATTTATAGATGAAATGATATGTCTTGAATTTGCTTCAAAAATAATACAGGAAGGGAGAGTTGGTGGGGGTATCAGTTAAACAAACATGAATAAATGTTGAAAATGGGTGATGGGTCTATGGTAGTTCATTACTCTATCTTACCTTCTTTGGATATGTTTGCAATTCTCTAGAATTAAAAATATTAATTCTAATTAAATATAACATTAATTATAAAATTATTAAAAAAATTATACATTCTAATTAATATAAAAATATTAATCTGGAAAATCCACCATCCCCACATTTTGATCACACAGCATTATCCCCGCCGCTGTCCTGGCCAACCTCAACCACTTTCCAATTATTTCCATTCAGCCTCCTATTCTCACCAACCCACAGGCCAGCTTCAGGGTCAAAGTCCCCTCTGGATCTGTCCAGTCACGTGGGTCTCTGGAACTTGCTCAAGGATGCCGGAACACCATCATTCAGCTGGGAAACTAACCCCAGGAACCTGGAAAGATTTTCCCATTGCCCAGGAGCCACACGGGCCACGGAGCCCACGAGTGAGGAAGCAGCGTGTTTATCATGAGTCTACTGGCAGCCCCATCCTTCAACCAACTCTAGGCGCAGAGAGGTCCCTCTTTTCTCTTAGTGATGATTTTGACATTTTAGTTCCTTTCAACCTCAAAGCAAATTGAATCCGAAGGCAGATAAGCAGGAAGAGAAGTGACGACAAGTCGACGCTTAATGTTAATGCAGAGCTTTTTTTCTCCCCCAGTGCAGAAGTCTTATTAAAGAAACAGCAGGATGCTGACAGGAAACTGTTTGTAAGTAGAAATAACACTTATTATAACAAGTCAGAACAGCAGGCAGATAGGTTTGTTTGTTTGTTAATTATATCTGGTTTTATTTTCTAGTGAGTGCCTTAAGAAAGGGGGGAGTCATTCTGATAGCTGTTTGAAACCAACTTTTAAATCCTCTTAGGAAGATGATAGGGAACCAGAGGGAGCAATCAGATCCTATGAAGCAAGTGGAGGTCTCCTCCACCCCCTTTTGTAGATCAGATCTGTGAAGGTTAATGACTTACAATCCCATCAACGGGCATCTAAATTCCTGCTTTAACTGATGCAGGTGTCAATAGATACAGGAAGTTTTTTGATCAAGTTATACATGGAATGCATGTGTAATTGGCCCCCTTGTAAGGAGTAATCTATAGGCCTTCTCCATGTATGACATTCCCAGAGAGAGCAAAATAGATATGCCTTTAGAGGAAAGGGTTAACTCAATCCAGATTAACTTTAACTACATGCCTACACACCATGAATCAGAAAAGATTGATAATTTCTAAAATGAGGACTCAAATGAGAAAGGGGAAAAGAACTATTTGGGGAGCAGGGTTGGGAGTAAATTAACTGGCAATAGTGTTTTTAAGTTGTCCTCGGGGTAAATTAAGCCATCTGCTTTTTTTGCCAGAAATGAGTAATTACTAAAAGGAGGCAGCAGAGTTCACATCTTGACATTTTTATCCAGAGTTAAGGTTTCACATCATACAGTCGTGGTCTATTTTTTTTTTTAAAGACACTTTATAGTGTAACTATAAATACCTGCAAAACCAATAGAGGATACCTCAGAGATCAGATGTATGCAGGCAGAGTGGTCTGAATCATTTAAACTATAGCAAAAAAAAAAAAAAAAAATACATGTGAAGGATAAAATACAATAATTAAGGGGAAAAGCAGATTTGACTAGATGATCCAAACCATCATCTCAGTTCCCAGAGGGATTGCCCTCCCTCTTTTTCCCTAGGCACTTCCCTTCCCCCCAGACCACCTTCAAAACTCTGCTTTGAAAGGTGCCTCCTACAGGAAGCGCTCCCTGGTTAACTGACCTGATCCTTTCATTCTACTCATTGCTACAAGAAGCATGTCTGTATTTTACATTTGGCCCTTATTAGCTTGTTTTATATCTTTATAAAAGTGTTCCTCTGCCTGCCTGTGTGTCTTTATTTTATCTACCTGCTTCTGGAGAAGTTCTTTTTTTTTTTTTAAGATTTTATTTTGGGGGGGGCACCTGGGTGGCTCAGATGGTTAAGCGTCTGCCTTCAGCTCTCTGCTTCTCTCTCTCCCTCTGCTTGTGCTCTCTCTGTCTCTCAAATGAATAAATAAAATTTTTTAAAGAAAGATTTTATTTTTTTATTTATTTGAGAAAGTGCATGTGTGCGCGCATGAGCTGGGGAGGGGAGGCAGAGGCAGAGGGAGAAGCAGTCTCCATGCTGGGCAGGGAGCCATGCAGGGTTCAAGCCCAGGACACTGGGATCACCACCTGAGCCCAGAGCTGATGTTCAACTGACTGAGCCACGCAGGCACCCCAGAGAAGTTCTTTAAGTACCCCACTGTGTCTTCCATTTTTCTGGGTATTTCCCCAGGGTGCTCACTGTTTGCAAAGAGAACTCAAGAACGTTGCTTATGGGCTTTGTGGAGCCAGCATCAAACTTATGGCTTTGGCTTGGGCTTTGAACCCCTTCTAAAAGTTTTGGAGGGAAAACATGCGATTATATAAATAATTCTAAGGAGCTTCTTTTAAGCCTCTCTAAACCTGTTGTTTCGGTTTTGGGTTTTTTTTTTTAAGATTTTATTTATTTATTTGAGAGAGAGAGCACATAGGAGCAGGGGGAGGAGCAGAGGGAGAGGGACAAGCAGACTCCATGCTGAACTAGATCTCACAACCCCAAGATCATGACCTGAGCCAAAATTCAGAGTCCTATGCTCTATTGACTGAGCCACCCAGGTGCCCCTTAACCTGTTTATCTGTTGTGTAGGGATAATGTGAAATTCCCCTCCCCGCTTTCCCTTTAAAAAAAATAATAAATAACTGGCTACTCTTGTTTTCACTGAATCAAGGGTTTCTTCAGGCTTGCCTGAATTTTACGAATAACCTCATAAACCGGCCAGTGGGCTGGATGCAAGGCTGGGTCAGTGCCGATGTGGATCTCAGCGTGGCAGTGCCTCCTTCTCAAAAGGACTGGCTTGGCCACATTCTCAAGTTAATGCGATGACCAGGGCTTGGGGAAATTTGGCACAATAAAGAGGTCTGAATTCCTTTGGCCACTGACTGTGGAGTCCCTCTGGAGAGAAAGAAGGACATAGAATTCTTTATCAAATTCTCAAGTCCCTGGAATTCTGGCAAACCACAACCGTGTTTCATTCAAGATGGGGATGAAGTAAAGTAGGGCAGGAGGTTGGCAATCGGCCTCCTAGGGATGGAAGTAATGATATTTTGGAATTTTTCACCCTCTCTTTATTAGCATCCAGCATCCTCAGGAGCCTCTCCTGAGGCTGCTTTCGCAAAGACATTTAGGTTTGCCCTTAGAATTTCATCTATGTTGGGACTTGGGAAGGGAGGAGCACTCGGTGTGAAGAAACACATCTTTTCTGGCATGGCACCAAGGAGAACAATCCAGTCTGCAAAATGTCCCTTCTTAGCTTTCACTCCACCAGGACCTCGCAAACCTTCTCCCCAGAGTTTTCAAGAAAACTAGTAGAAGAAGTCGTGCTGACAATGAGGAATAGCTGTACGCAAAAAAGCTCAGGTGCGGAGGTAGGAAAGAAATCAGGCTAAGGGTCGGACCAATAAAGAAAAGTGGCAAAAGCAGAACTTCCTGTCCACAGCCCCAGTGATGTCCCTCAGCTACCACATCGTGGTGATGCTGGGTAGCGGGAGAAGCCCGAGAACAGGAAGCCAAGCAGAGAGAGCAATCACCAAATGTTCGGTGACGGAGTTGCAGCCATTCTGTGAGCATGCATCAGCTATGCACTGGCAGCATCTTGCTGCATCTTGCTGTGCCTTCTAGACCTCGGGTCCCCCATCCGGAAGGAAGGAAGGGCTGGCTTCATAGGCGTGCACTTGCTTTAATGCTCTGCTGTCACCATCTTGAAATTCCTGAAATTCACCACATTTTCATGTTGCCCGGGCCCCACAAATGATGTCACCCGTCCTGAAAGTAAAGGTGGGGTATTAGTGGCTCTGGTTAAATTAATTGATTCATATACCTTATTTTGCTTTAAGTTGTCTCCGAAAGTATCCTATGAAATCAGTGAGGAGAGGATAAAAACTAGAAAAAGCACACACTTGACAGTAAATATGCCATATTGGCAAATGATGTGGTCTTAATCAATCGGTTGCTCCAATTAACTGGTAAGGTTGGCTTAACTCCTCCATGTAGACTAATTGTCATAAGATACTGAGTTACATACTAAACACTAAAATCTATATTGAAAGTATTTGAATCCTCTGGCTCTCTCACTGCCAAGGGATGCTCATTCTAAACCATAATTCTCATTGAGAAAGACGATGTAGAAAATGTGTGGTTGTTTTGGTTTCTGGTTATCTTAACTATGTCAAGATCATAGTAACATTCATAATAAAAAACACTTGCTAAAACCTACACTCTGGGATTTCAGATTTAGGATTAGGATCCAAGTTAGGATTAAAGTTAGGGGTTAGAATTAAGGTTAAGGGTGGGGATTAGGGTTAAGGCACAGTACCTGACCTGGAGAACTAGAATCTAGACAGACTATTCATGTATATAAATAATACATACACACATACCCACACCCACACACAAGAGCAAAAGAAGGAAGTCCTGGTTAAGGGCCAATGAGCTTCAGAGTCAGAATGTTGTAGGAGTTCAGGGGAGGGGACTCGCAGGAAGCAGGAAGCCAAGTCCAAACCATCACGGTCCCTTGGGTGGCAATGGGGTGGACCCCACGGTATCACCTGCTGTGGGGCTCTGTAAGTTTGGGAGTCACCATCGGATCAGCGAATGTGTGGTGAACACCCGTTTCCAGGAGGCAATGTCTAGTTTTATGGAGATACAGAGGTGACCAAGTTAAGGTTCTGGCCTCCACATCATTCCAACCCAAGCGAGTGATGAACACAGAGGTATGACTGAAGCCTCACCAGTGAGCCACCAACCCCGCCCCCTACCAGCTGAGTGACAAGAAGATGCAAAGAAGATGAGTCAATAGAATTCTCTTTGCATTATTGATTGAGACACTGAGTTGAAAAATGAGAAAAATATCAATCAGGGAAATCAAAAGAAGCACTCTTCCATCAGTAAAGGTGCCCCGGAGAATGTGGTGAACGGGAGAGGCTCTAGTTTTATGCATGAGCTGACTGTCTGACAGGCCCAAGATTTTCCAAATCCTGTTTGCTCAGGGTGACGGTCACAAAAAACAATGTTGAGCTCCTTTTCTAAAAGTAAATAAATATACAGTGTAATTTTGCCTCGCTTTAAGCAACCCTGGGTTTTTCAATCCCAACGGATAAATCACCGAAGAATTCTTGACTTTATAAAATGTCTCACCACAAGATGGCCTTAAGAAGTAAACTCCCGCAGTAGTACAATTTAGGTAGAATTTGACTTGCAAAAAAAGAATTTATATGCAACACTGAAGCAGCACATCTGCTACCTAAAATCAGGTAGCCTTGTAGTTGATCCAAAGCCATAAATAAAATAAGAAGCAGTCATTCTTCACCAACATTATTCAATTGAGAAATCTGGAAGAGCAATCTAAACAATCTTCCTGTCAGTGGCTATATTATTAGACTGCAGCTTTCCAGGTTCCTACATGTTGACAGGAAGCTGATCTGAAGTAGAAAGAATAAGACAATATATACCCGCAGGATCATTTCTTCAGCCCCATTAAATATTACTCAGGGCCAGTTTGTCTACACAGAGCTACTTCACCTACAGTGAAAAGTCTGAAGTAACGGATTGGCTTACAGTGATTTCCAGGCAAGTTCTAGAATAGAGTATTTAGATGATGATTGGTGAGCACTTAGAAATTAAGAAGTGATCACTCAGAGTCACCCTGGGTTCACTAAAAAAAAAAAAGATAAATGGCATCTCTCTCTTTTAGAGCTACTTACTATACCCATAAAGTTGAGAAATGCCATTGATGAAACTTGAATTTCAGCAATGTATTCGATTAAGTCATGAAATTGTCATAGACACAGTGGGGGAAAAAAAATGTGGGTTCAATGAAAATGCAATTATATGGATTTGAATTTTCTTGATCAACCATTCTAAATGGTTGATGAATAAACTCTTCTGAACCTGCGGGGAGGACCCTAATGGAGTATCGCAGGGCTCTCTCCTGCTCAGCATTTTATAAATGTCCAGAATAAAGATTTAGAAAGCCCTGTCACCAAGATCACATGGTATACAAAACTGGAAGGCTAACATATTAGATAGCAGAATCTGGATTCAAAAAGTTTCAGTAAGGCAGAAGAAAAAAATCAAAACCAACAAAATATAGTTTATAAGGGATAAATGTAAAATTCTACATCTAGGATTCCATATAAGACGAAAGACAAAATCTGGCTTAATGAAAGGACATGTGATGGAGAACCAGGTTTCGATTGGCTACAGGTTTTATATGGGCCCTTAATGAATCATGGGTATTAAGAATAACAACAAAAAGCTAATAGATTCTTGGCAGATAACATTTATTTTCTCCTTGATTATCAAGGATTCTCTTACTTTCTTCATACTATTTGAATTTTCCAAATTCTCTACAATGAGCATATGTTATTTTTATGAACAGAAAAAACTACTCTTCGTATTTGAAAATATTT